CCTGCGCGGCGGCTCCACGGCTCCCACGGCGAGAGGGGTCCCGCCCCGCGGCCCGGCTCCGCCCCCTGCTCCCAGGCCTATTTAGCACCAGGGGCGGCACCTCGGGTCACCTGCGGCCCCCAGACCAGACCTCGAAGGCACGGAGGAGGCCCCGACCCGCGCGCCCAGCCCGCCCCGGAAGAGAACGGACCCCTGCGCGCGCCCCAGAGACGCAGGTGCGGAGCCCTTGCCCCGACCGCGCGTGACTCACGGGAGCGGGCAGAGGGCGCCCCGGCGCGCCCGCCTCACCGCCCCGCTCCGCAGCCCCACCATGGCCGGGCCGCTGACCGTCGCTGTGGCCCTCGGTTGCATCAGCCTCCTGCACCTGCAGCTGCCTGGCGCGTGCTCCAGCAGCCTGCGCGGGAGCCCTCTGCCTGCGCGAGCCAGGTGAGGCTGCCACCTCTGCCCTGGCCTGACCGCTGGCCCCGGAGGCCTGTGTCCCTGCCTGCCCCCCACCTCGCCTTGGGAACCCATTGCTAGGGCTCATCTCCAGTCCAGGACAACCCCCACTCCTGCCGGAGCAGCAGGAGGCTCTTCCTTTGTCTCTCCCCCTCAGGGAGAGCAGCCTCCCAACCAGAGGGTCTCCCAGGGAAGGGGTGGGCCGGGACACCCCCAGGCAGGCTGAGGGAAGGGCCGAGGAGTCACTAAATTCTGAGAATAGTGACCCACAGAGTCGCCGTGCCCTGGTGCCCTTTGCCCAGGGAGGTGCTGTTCTCAGGACATGTGACCTGGGCTCAGGTGGGGAGGGTGGGCTCCCCTGGCTTGGGCAGGCTGTGTGGGGGCCTGGGCTTCCCCTGGCCCTGTGCCAGGCCTCTGAGAAGCAGCTGGGCTCCTCCTGCCTAAGCCTCAGCCTGGACGGAGGGAGGGAGGGTGGGTGGGTAGGAGAGGCCCTGGATGGTCCAGCTACTGGGTTTAGACCTGCCCGCCCTTCCACAGGAAGCCCCCCGCCCGGACTCCCAGTGGCCTGCAGCCCCAGCACCCTCACTTACCCCCGCAGCCACAGGAGAGGGCCAGCCTAGCCCCTGCTATGGGCCGGGCTCTCCAGGACGGTGGCCGACGACACCCAGGCCCCCGGCAACACCTGGGCCTCCGGAGACCCCATGCCCAGCTCATGCGGGTGGGCTGTGTGCTAGGCACTTGCCAGGTGCAGAAACTCAGCCACCGTCTGTGGCAGCTGGTAGGGCCAGCCGGCCGGCGGGACTCAGCTCCTGTGGACCCCAGCAGCCCCCACAGCTATGGCTGACGTCGGCCCTGGACACCCTGTGGGTCTCAGCCCAGCTGGCACAAGGCACCCTGATCCCAGAGCTGGTTGGTCCCCAGAGCCGCAGTCAGCACCCGGTCCTGCAGCAACTATGCCCACACGGCTTTGGACACGTAAACCCATACAGGTGTGTAGACCGAGCCACTCCGCACAGTGTCGGCACACCGGGGGGCTGAGTACCCCAGAACTCTGCACACTCTGGGGACAGGAGCTGGGCAGAAGTGACTGACAACATCAGGCACCAAAAGGGCTTCGGGTGGGGGGGCTGTCCAAATCAGAGCGCAGAAGTCAGGGTCCTGGACACACCAGGGCCCCTCTGAGCAAGTGCGAGAGGCTGAGAGGTTCAGTGTGGCCTGCCGTGGGCTTGGCAGGTGCTGCTTCCTGGCATGGCTTGCCTCCGTGTCTGACCTTACCTGGGCCCAGGGCCTCTCCCTGCCTATGGCCTGAGGCACGCTGACACTGCTTCTCAGGATTGGATGAGGGCCAAGGGTATGAAGGACCCTTGCAGCTCCGATTGCCAACCCTGGAGCTCAGGCTGAGGAAGAAGTGCAGACCCCTGTGGGTCCCCTGTGGGAAATCAGGGAGGTGGCATAGGGGTTCCAAGGCCACTGCTGAGCCATTCTGGGCCAATGCAAACCAGAGACTCCCCTCCTTCCCCTGAGACATGTGTTTGTGTGTGTGTGTGTGTGTGTGTATGCATGTGTGCATGTATGTGTGCACGCCATGATCGCCTACCAAAACAAAAAATAGAACAGGAAGACCCAAGGAAGACTATACCACCTCAGAGGGAGTTGGAGACAGCCAAGGAAGGGTGGGGCTCTACAGGCAACCCACGTGGGCACCCATGAGACCATGAGTGGGGATGAGAGAGGCTAGGCTGGCGCACTCCTCTGTACCCTGCCGTGAGCCAGGCAGGGGTGACCGGCCTTAGCATCAGCAAGGAGAACCACAGCCAGGACACAGAGCTCTTGGTGCATGCCTTCCCTGATGGGACCTTTGCATGTGTTACGTCCTATCATCCCTAGGTCGTGGTCAGCAGAACCCAGGTTCAAAAGGTTTATTTGTCGCTCAGCAGGTGCTCACAGCACTTAATTTCCAAGTGCTTGCCAGCATCACTCTGTCAGCCAGCCTGGCGGAGGCACCTTGGTACCTCAGCCACCCAGTGGTCAGGGGTGTGCCCTAATTACTGCGACCCTCAGAGCCTCCACCCAGGGTTCCCGGAAGACTGTCCCTTGGGTCCTGGCAGTGCCCCTCTGGGCTCCCATCCTATGCTCTCTCTGGCACCTCGAGGGCAACTTGGTCCAGGTGACTTACCTTCCCTTTACTAGGCTGTGGGACTGAGTGGGCCTTAGTGCACCTGGAACCAGATCAGGTGGTCCCTGGCCAGCAGCGCAGTGAGACGGAGAAGCACGTGTCTGCACCAAGTTTGGGGGCAGCAGGGCTCTCCAGCCAAGAGCTGTGCCGAGGATGGTGGCCCCAGCAGCTGAGTGAGGCTGGTCCCTAAGAGGCAGTCCAGCTCCGGGTCACCTGCCCTGTGGACACGGAAGGCTGCTGCAGAGGTAGGTGGGCAGTGGTGACCCAGGAGTGAAGGCAGAAAGGAGTCCAGGGCCAGCTGGGCAGGTGCAAGCGCTCAGTCCCGAGACTCAGCTCCCCCGTGCCCTGCCGAGGCTCCCTGTACACAGGGCAGAGTCCAGCCTCACACGCTGCTCCTCAGCACACAGTGTTCCCCCTTCCAGGAACAGCCCCGTCCTGAGTCCTCCAGCCCAGACTCCAGGATGGGCTGCAGGTGCCCAGAATTCCACCCGCAAGTGCTCTTAGCCAAGGCCCCTGAGTCTTGGGCCTTCCCCGGAAGTGGCCCCCACTGTTCTATGCTGTCACAACCCACAGCTTTGCATCTGATGCGATGCCAGCTCCACACCATGCTCCACTGCCCTGGCACGCCCCCTCTCGGAATTCAGGAGGCATGACATCTACCTCCACCGAAGCCTCCCTGGCTGCACCTTTGCACTGCCTTTCTCACACCACTGGGCACAACCTGTGGGCCCCTCTCCAAATCCCCTCCAGGCACTGGTGCCTTCTCTTGACTGGACACTACCTATTTTTTTGTTTCTTAATCAGGGTCTCAATATGTAGTTTAGGCTGGCCTCCAACTCACAGTGATCCTCCTGCCCGAGCCTCCCAAGGGCTGGGATGACGGGTGTGTGCCGCCACATGTAGCAGCACCACCTGTTTTGCAGGCTATAGCTGTAGTCTCGTGGAGCTCATCACCCTCACCTCTGTACTCCCACAGGCACAGACAGGAAACATGACGTAGGTGGGTGTGTGGAGGGTGGAACAGGCAGCAGCTTACCCTCTTTAGCGGTGAGGGGTCACCAAGGCCCCCTACATCTCACCTCATACAGCTGCATGAGGAATCTGTTGCATACAGGGTCAACTACAGGCTTCTTGCCCAGAGCTCTGCCCTCACGGTCCAGCCTGTTGGGCTCTCCACTCTGCCCCTTCCTGCCAGATGGTCACTCACCAGGCAGCCACAGCTGTCTGCTTGGTTCCTGCTGTGTCCACAGGGCCAGCTAACCACGCAGCTCTGTTGCCTGAGTCCTGGTCAGGGGTGCTTGGCACGTGGAGGCCCTCGACAGGAGCCCAGCACTCTCCTTACCAAACTTCAGACAGTGCCCTGGGCCTCCTGAGGACGACACCTGCCCTTGCCCTTGTCCTTGCTGGGCCTGCCTAGCCCTAGCCCCAGACTCCAGGATGAACCAGGATCTCCCCACCCTCTGCGTCCGCCCCCCCCCCATAGGAATCGCGTGAGGGACTCCGGAGCCCTCCTACCATTGGTGCCACAACCATTCCTCACAGGCCCTCGTTCTGCTCATTGGTTGTGAGTCCCCAGCGGCCCTGGTTATATCTGGTCGTCTCCCTGCCCTATTGCAACGGTCTTGAATAAAGTTTTCCTTGCGGTCGTAACAAGTGTCAGAATAATTCTGTCTTCCTCTCTCCTCCTTTCTCTCTTCCTTCTTTCCTTCCTTTTTCTGTCTTTTTTTTTTGTGGTACTGTAACAGAAATCAGTGAGACAAGAGTTAGGGTTCTATTAGGCAGTAAGAACAGTGGCCCCAAGTGGAGTTGGGATGCCCCAAAATGGAATGTGCTGAGTCACCATCCTCCAGGGATCTTACAAAAACATCTGCTGGGTGCCGCCTGGGTGCCTGGGACCTCCCTGGGGTGTGATCAGGGAGCCCACTGCAGCAAAGGCACATGGCCCCTCCTTGGGCACTGCGTAAACACCACATAGATTGGACAATAGAAAATATGTAGCCTCCTATAGGGTAGAGATTATGTTGTTGACACACAGCCTGAACTCTTTTCTGAGCCCTTTTAAAACCCACAGACAAAGAGCCCTCCTCCAGCTAGTGGGAGCCTTCCTTTCTTGCCTTTATGTCTTCCGGAAAAAATTTCCGAGCATGGTAGTGCACACCTGTAATCTCAGTACTTGGGAGGCTGAGGCAGGAGGATCATTGCGAGTTGAAGGCCAGTCTGGGCTACAAAGTGAGCTCAAGGCCAGCCTGAATTGCATAGCGAGACCCTGTCTCAAAAAGACGAAAAAAAAAAAAAAAAGAAGAAGAATAAGAAGAAGAAAAAGAAAATTTTCTTGGACCCTACCGGCTGCAGTTTTACTCTTTGTCACCATGGGCTCTTTGGAGCCTGATCCGGGATCCCAAGGGGAGGTAAGTCAGGTCTATGCTTTCTTACATGCTTTGCTTTCACTTTGTAGCTTTCTGCTCAAAGCAATATTGGGACCCTGTCGACCAATTAAAAGTGATTAGCATGTTCACTAACCTTGCGGTCTCGGGACAGGTTTCACTGCCGTGGGCTGAGCTGAACCCCAGGCTCACCTCAGTTTTCCTTTCCAATTGGACCTTTCCACTGGTGAGGGAGTGATCTCTGCCCTGGGTGCGCTTGGCTCCGCAAAGCTGATAATCCTTGGACTTGTTGCGCCTTTAACTCCCCACAGGTGTTAGAGGTAACAAATCACCTTCCTCTGTCAGGACTTCCTTTGTTAGTGAGCTGGGCCAGGAGTAAGAAAGGCCCGTCTCTTGGCTCATTGTAATTGTCTGGTGGCACTCTTGCAGGCACAGGTCAGACAGTTAAATGTCATTGGGGCATCTGCTGTTTCTAAGACTCCTGTAAAAGAATAACTCTGTCATGGGATGGAGCATTGTAGGCTCAGCCAGGCTTAAGACAACTCCCACGCATCTGCTAGGTTTATGTTTTATATTCTAGAACAGAAAGATGAAGTGTCAGTCTGGATATGGTGGTATAGGTCTGTAATCCCAGCGCTTGGGAGGCTGAGGCAGGAGGAGTACTGTGAGTTCAAGGCCAGCCTGAACTGCATAGTGAAACCCTGTCTCAAAAAGAAAAAAAAAAGATGAAGTACCTTTGTCACATAATCCTTTCCCGTACCCTAAATGTTTTGCCCGGTTGTTTCTGAGTTCTGGGGGTCTTGCCTGTCGTCCTTTGTCTCCCTTTAGAATCATATTTGTCCTGTCTCAGTCTCCTTCTTCCACCCCTCCCACCAGATATTTACTCCCCAGCCTCCTGAATGTCACACAAACTGGTGCTTTTGTTTATTTCACTTTGTAGCCCAGGCTGGTCTCAAACTTGCGATGATCCTCCTGTCTCAGCCTCCTAAGTGCTGGGATTACAAGTGTGCGCCAGCATGCCTGGCCTTAAATTGGTGCTTTTAGATAAAGGTTATGGCTGTAATTTCTGAGGTTAAAAAAAAAAAAGGGCTCTTGAATGGTATACAGCCTGCACTGAGGCCTGATAAATAACAAAGCTGGGTTTAACTCCTCTCTACCTCTCTAGTGCAGGGAAGGGAACAAGCCTTCCTCCCAACCTTTGAGGAGTTAATAAGAGCCCACTGGGCAAATCTGGGTTGGTTAATAAATTTACTTTTGGATTCCAATTTGAGTTGATATTTTTTGTTTAATTGATATGTTTAAAACATTTCTTGTGGATTGGGAAGTTGTTAAACTATAATTACAAGGTTAACTTGCTCTTTTGATGTGTTCTGCTTGGGGTAAGGTAAGGATGCTACTTAAGGACTCAGAGGTCCTTTGGTCAGCCAGCCTTAATTGGAATATAAACATCTATAAACTCACTCTGGGCTAAAGAAAAAAAGTCTGCTAGGGCATTTTAAAATCGAAGCAGCTTGCTGGGTATGGTGGTGCATGCCCATAATCCCAGCACTCAGGAGGCTGAGGCAGGAGGATCGTTGTGAGTTTGAGGCCAGCCCGGGCTACAAAGTGAGCTCAAGGCCAGCCTGAACTGCATAGCAAGACCCTGCCTCAAAAAGACAAAAAAAAAAAAAAAAAAATCCAAGCAGCTACTGACTGGGTTTCTTACAGAAAGTAACCAATAAATAAGACAGAGAGGGAAATATAAAAACATTATAAATATGAAGGTATACTTTGGGATGAGAGGATTTTATATGATAAACTTTCCCCCTACAAAGATTTTAAAAAAGATAAGGATAAAATTAGGGAGTCTGAGTACATTGAGAAAGATTTCCAAAAAATGAGGTTTATAAATACCTCTCTCTATATATATATATATGTTTGATTACTTTAAATTTTTGCTCTTGTTGGCTTGGTTGAGCCTAGGTTGTCCCTTCTAAGTCTCTTTGATGCTCAAAGGTGGCTAAAGGTTGATAGAACCGACTCTCAGATCTGTCAGTCACTCTGCTTGGTCCCAGCTCCCCTCCCTGGTCTGATTGTCAACACTGATCCTTCTTCATTATCTCCTGTGCAGTGGTACAAAGGTGATAGACACCATAGCGGTGTAAAATGTTCCTTCCTTTTAGAGGGAACATAAAGGCCACATGCTGGTGACCTCATGATAAACAGATGACCACCTAGGTCTAGTCAAGACCTCTGCTTGAGTTTGGGTTTAATGACAAATGTGGCCTTTAAAAGGATGTTTAAACTACCTTGCCTGGCTTCGTGGCTGCCAGGACCCTGCCCCACACTAGATTTCATTGACCTTCAGCACATAACAAGGGGTCTAACATTTGATCTTCAGTTTCATTTACAGAGGCTTTACCCCTTTCTTGACTAGAACTAAGACTGCACAGGTGGTGGCCAGAGGATTCCCTGGTCGGAGAGTGCTTCAATAGGAAAACAAGGGACACCTTCTCTCCCTTGGATGCTTTTTATTTTATTTTATTTCATTGATTTATTTATTTATTTTTGTCTTTTTGAGACAAGGTCTCGCTATGCAGTTCAGGCTGGCCTTGAGCTCACTTTGCAGCCCAGGCTGGCCTTCAATTCACAACGATTCTCCTGCCTCAGCCTTCTGAGTGCTGGGATTACAGGCTCCTCACCACCACACCCAGCCCTTGGATATTTTTAAAAAAACAACAGCAACAACAAAAAGCTTGATTTTGGCTCCCATTACTTTTTAAAAATATATCCTCAAAAAATTGGGATTCCTTTGATCTTGCCCCAGATCCTAAAAAATGCCACTTGACTTTCTTTTACACCCTCACCTGGGTCTCCTACCCTCTGGGAGATGGAGGACCTTGGCTTCAATTCCCTAACTAAAAAAATATTCCCTTGGGATAGAATTATCAGTCTGCAGGACAGGTTACATCTCCACTTTTTAAGTCTTCTTATTCCTTCTCCAACCTTAATGGCACAAGACCTACTCTGGGGTTCCGTGGGCTTCCCGGACTTCCCTCCATAACGTCTTCTTCCAGTGTATATGGGACTGTGATAAAAGACATGAGACCCCGCCCCCCAAAAAGCCCTGGAGTGATGGTTTCTACAGATAACGTCTCTTATCCCTTCTTTAGGTAAGAAGCAAACATAACTACGCAGGAACATGGACAGGGCCATGTTAAAACTAAATAACACTAGTAACCATACTTGGGGTTATCTCTCCCAATGTTTGGGCCTTGTACTTAATGAGGCAAGACATCACCTTGTCTCCAGGTTTCCTCTTTTACTCTCCTTACTCAAAACATTTTGCACATTGAGCCCTCTCAATCACATCATTAAAGACCCTCCTCTATGCATAGACAGCTGGTTTTCTAGAACTAGACCTTTCTCCATAGGCCCATGGTGACCTGGGACCCCAACATCTTCTCCACTGATGTAAATTTACCATCCACCTTTAAATTTGCCTGCCTATAGGGCAAGACCACCAATGTCTCCCTCACAAAAAATGGCCTCTGCTTGCTCTGTGGAAAATTCTTATACCATACTCTGCCTTTTTCATAGAGGAAAAGATATACTGTGGCTGGTGCCCTCCCTAACTTCTGATTCTTTAAGGAGTCCACCTTCCAAATGTGTAGGTTCATCTCTAATCTGGACTCTTGCCTAAAACAGTCTCTTAGAGATATAGCTCAGTGGTACAGTGCTTGCCTGGCACGTGCAAGGTTCTGAGTTCAATTCCTGGCACCAAATAAATAAATAAATAAATAAAAATGGACTCTCACCCATTTTAGGTTCAAGAGCTCCCTCCTCAAGTCCCTATGGAGAGGGGCTTAAGCCCTCCTGGGACCCTTCATACCACTGTTGTTGTGCTATGGATAGTAGATAGATCTCAACCCAAGCCATGATCCCGTGAATAAAACCTACTGTAGAGATCTAACCTGACTTCTATCACAGGCCATCAGACCAGCCCTCTGTAAGATACCCTGACTTGCTGCCCCTATACAGCTCAAAACAGCTAAAGCGGTCATCTTCCCCTGTCCTTAACAACAGTTATTATGATCACCAAATCTTCCGGGGAGGTGGGGGGAGGCACGGAATGTAACAAAAAGTAATGAGACAAGAGTTAAGATTTTGCTGGGCATGGTGTTGCACACTTGTAATCCCAGCACTTGGGAGGCTGAGGCAGGAGGATCCTGTGAGTTCAAGGCCAGCCTGAACTACATACTGAAACTTATCTCAAAAAGACTAAATAAATACATAAATAAATAAAGAGTTAAGATTCTATTAGAGACAAAGACAGCAGCTCTAAAGTAGTCAGAAAGCCTAAAATAAAGTCTACTGAGTCACAACCTCCATAGATCTTACAAAAACATCTTCCAGGTGTTCTTCAGCTGTCTGGGATCTTTGTTTTTTTTTTTTGGTTTTTCTCCGATACCGGGAACTGAACTCACGACCTTGCACTTGCCAGGCAGGCGCTTTGCCGCTGAGCTAACTCCCCAGCCCCTGTCTGGGATCTTTGCAAAACATGATCAGGCAGGCTATTGACTCAAGGGCAAAAATGGGCCCTACATGGGCACTGTGTCAAAACTACATAAAAATATGTTGTCTCTCATAAGGTAGAGATTATATTACTTATACAACAGCCCAAAACTCTTCTAAAACTCTTAAAAACCTCTAGACAACTAGGCTCAGTGGCACATACTGTAATCCCAGCACTCAGGAGGCTGAGGCAGGAAGATGTTTGAGGCCAGCTTGGGCTGCATAGTGAGACCTTGCCTCAAAAAACAAAACCAAAACAAAACAAAAGAGCTCTCACAGGTATCCTACTCAAAAACCCCTCCTGGTTAGTGGAAGCTTTACTTCCTTGTCTTTATACTTGTTAAATAAATTTGCTTGTACCCTACCTCCTCCACCTATGGCTGCATTCTTCATCACTGTAAGACATAACCTCCATGTTGTGTTCTGATAACAGTACTGGGGTTTAACCTGGGCTTTGCACATGCTAAGAAAGTGCTCTGCTGCTGAGCTACACCCCAGAGTTAGAATTATTTTTCTTTAACGAGCCTGACCCACAATCCCTAGGTGGCCCAGAGACAAGTCACTGCTTCCTGAGAAATGTGCGTGTGGTGTGTTGTGACCTAGGGTGAGGTCTGTCTACCGTCTTCCGGAGGAGCTGGCTGCAAGCATGGAAGTGGTCAAAGCAGGGGACAGACAGGCTGGCTGCAGAGCAGGCCTGGCAGCTACAAAGGCCAGTCCTCCTTGGACGATGGGGAAGCTAAGGTCAGGGTGAGGGGGCTGGAGCCACTCCTGTGCTGACACATTAATTTGCTGAGGCCAGCAAAGGATGGATGGTCATTCATTACCGAGGCCCAAGGCCAAGGGGCCAGGTGGTGTCCGGTCACTTATGTAACCTGTGGGCATATATATATGTACCTGGGCCCACAGGCTTCCCACCCACTTACCAGCCTTGCCGCCGAGAACTGCTGCCTCTCAGGATGAAGGTGGCTGTGGTGAGTACCTAGACTAGTGGGAAGTGGCTTCCCAGAGCGGCACTTCCTGTGGGAAGAGAGCAGCACCACCCTCGCCCAGCCGGTTCCTGCTGGCCTTCTGTGTCCAGGTCAAAGGGCTCCCTGCTTCCTGTTGTGGGCCGGGCCCTGCCCCCCAGCCTCCTCCTAGAGGCAGCTTCCACCCAGCTGTCACAGGCGTCCGCCATCCCAAGCAGCGCCTAGCTGACACCATGCGGCAGATGAAGACAGATAAAGACGCCAGCAGTGAGAGCTCCTCAGACTCAACAGCGGCAGCCAAGCCTGGGCTGGGGTGGTCTGTGGTGGAGCTGTCCTCAGGGCCCACGTCTCCAGCCCTGGTGGGAATGCGCTCACTTCCTGGGGCAGCTGTCATGATGGTGAAATGGGTCAAATCTGCCCTCCTGCCAGGACCCAGACCCCTCCCTGATCTACCGACCTGATGTGGACCCAGAGATGGCCAAAGACAAAGGCAGCTTCCGGAACTACACCGTGAGGACCCCACACCTCCCATACCCCAGGGATCCCTGGGAAGCCCCCTTCACCCCTGGGTCCTGTCCCAGAGAGGGAGGCGGTGGCCCCTGTGTGGCGCATCTGACTGTCTGGTTTGTAGTCAGGCCCCCTTCTGGACCGTGTCTTCAACACCTACAAGCTCATGCACACATACCAGACGGTGGGCTTCGTCAGGAAGAAGGTAGCATTTTCCTGCTCCCTCACAAACTCAGTCATGTACCTAGCAGGGGGACAGAGAGGCTTCTGCGGGTGGCTCTGCCCTGCACCCCTGGGAGGCCCTGGTGTTGCTTGCCCCAGGAGGGGCTGACATCTCCCTTTCTACCCAGCACGCCCAGTTTGGGGGCTTCTCCTGCAAAAAAATGACTATCATGGAGGCTGTGGACATGCTGGACCACCTGGTGGATGAGTCGGACCCAGATGTGGATTTTCCCAACTCCTTCCATGCCTTCCAGACAGCAGAGGGCATCCGGAAGGCCCACCCTGATAAAGGTCTGTGCCCCAGCTGTGGGGGCGCTCTGCCTCTGCCCTGGAAGGGGAAAGTTGCGGGGAAGGCCTCCCCAGAAGGCCCCCCTCTGGAGGAGCAACCCCAGGCCCCTCCTCACTCTCAGTCCAGGGCTTGCTTCTCCTGTCTCAGCCTCCCCGTCCCCCAGCCACCCCCGTCTCTCGCCTGCAGACTGGTTCCACCTCGTAGGGCTCCTGCATGACCTGGGGAAGGTCCTGTCTCTGTGGGGGGAACCCCAGGTGAGAGCTGGAGGTGGAGTGGGGGCAGACTCAGCTCTGGGCTCCAGACCCGATGGGGTACAGGCCAGCACCCCTCACCCACAGCTGCCTCCCTCCCCAGTGGGCTGTTGTTGGAGATACCTTCCCCGTCGGCTGCCGTCCGCAGGCCTCAGTGGTGTTTTGTGACTCCACGTTTCAGGACAATCCTGACTTCCGGGATCCCCGATACAGGTGCCCCCTATGCCAGGGCGGGTCTTCCCCTCCCTGGGCCACCTCCACCCCTTCAAACTCATCTCTTGCTGCAGCACAGAATTCGGCATGTACCAGCCCCACTGTGGGCTCGAGAATGTCCTCATGTCCTGGGGCCATGATGGTGAGACCCACAGAGGCGGGCAGGGGCCGGTGAGGACGGGCAGGGCTATCCTCCAGGTGCTGGTGGTGACACCTCTGTCCTGCAGAGTACATGTACCAGATGATGAGGTTCAACAAGTTCTCCTTGCCTGAGGAGGTAGGTAGAGGGCGGGGCCGCCCCAGCCCCACCCGCCCCACACCCTGCCCCGCACAGCCCAGCCCAGCCCAGCCCAGCCCAGCCCAGCCCAGCCCAGCCCAGCAGAGCTGTGCCCCTGGCTGGGCAGCCTGAATCAGCAGGTGTGGTCTGCAGGCCTTCGCTATGATCCGCTTCCACTCCTTCTACCCGTGGCACACGGGTGGTGACTACCGGCAGCTTTGTAGCCAGCAGGACCTGGACATGCTGCCCTGGGTGCAGGAGTTCAAGTAAGGCTTCCAGAAGGGCCCAGGGCTGGGGGGTGGGGACAAACACAGACTCTTTTGTGAGGCTCACTGCCCCTCCACCCTGCAGCAAATTTGACCTCTACACCAAGTGCCCCGACTTGCCAGATGTGGGCAAGCTGCGACCCTACTACCAGGCGCTTGTTGACAAGTACTGCCCTGGTGTCCTGAACTGGTGACCTGGCCCCATGTTGGCCCCTCAGGCACAATGACCCTTACCCTGGCCTTGCTGGGAGCCCCACATACCCACTTCCAGCCACTACCCTTCACGGCCATTTGCGCCCCTCCTTGCAATAAATACCTTGACACAACCTGTGTGTCTCACTCTTCCCTATGGCAGCAGACGTGGCCCTAGCAAAGGGACATTACCACTCTAAAAGTTATTCGACTGCTTGGCTCCTCTGTTCCAGAACGGCAGAGACCAATCACCCAGCTTGGGAGACCAATCCCCACATTCTAGAAATGGCAAAAAAGCAGGGCGGGGCATTTTCGTGTGTCCCTGTAATCCCAGCATTCTGGGAGACTGAGGCAGGAGGATCATAAGTTTGAGTGAGAGACATTAATGGGACCTTATCCTATAATAAAAATGAATAAATAAATAAATGCATAAGTAAGGATGGGGGTGTAGCTCAGTGTGAAGGCCCTGGCTTCAATCCCTAGTACTACAAACAAAATGTGCAGGATGTGCTGGTTCATGTCTGCAGTCCCAGCTTCTCAGGAGACAGGAGTGAGGATCTCTAGAACCCATGAGATTGAGACTAGCCTGGGGAATCCAGCAAGACCTCATCTCAGGGAGGGAGAGACAGAGACAGAGACAGACAGAGAGACAGACAGAGACACAGACAGACAGAAACACAGACAGACAGAGACACAGAGAGACAGAGTGACAGATACAGTCATAGAGAGACAGTGACCCTGACAGAGACAGAGAGACCAAATGACAGAGAGACAGAGACAGAGACACAGACAGACAGACACAGACAGAGACAGAGAGAAATGGAGACAGAGACAGATGGAGAAAGATACACAGAGAGACAAATAGCTAACAGGTATACAAAATATGCTCAGTATCATGAATCACCAGAAAATGCAAATTAAAAGCACAAAATATCACTCTTACTTGTTAGAATGGCTTTTGTAAAAAAGATGAAAGAAAGCCAGGGGTGGTGGTCACACCAGTAATCCCAGTATTTGAGAGGCTAAAGCAGGAGGAACACCATGAGTTTGAGGCCAACCTAGGTTACCTAGTAAGTAACCTGTGTACCTAGTAAGTTCAAGTCCAGCCTGAACTACATAGCAAGACTCTATCTCAAAAAAACCCAAAATAAACAAATGAGAAAGATAACCTGATGGTGAAAGTGGAGAGGAGGAAATTTGCATAGTCAGCTGAAATGTAATTAATATCATGGAAAATGGTGTGGTATTTGGCCAAAACATTACAAATATTCCTACTGTGGGATGCAGCAATCCCTTTTCAGGATGGGCCCTGGCCCGTGAGTGTCTGATTGTGCGGACTTCACACAGTGTTTAGGGCCTAATAGTCCAGGATGATTTTCCCATTATAAGACTCTTTACTCACATCTACAAAGATGCTTTTTCCAGGAACATCAGAATCCACAGGCTTTAGGGTGTGATGTTGGTATCTTTTGTGGGCTGTTTTCCAGCCTAGCTAGAGGCTACCCCAGGCTTGGTGTCAGCCATTTCTCCAAAGACCCCTGGCTTTCTTGAGTGGGAAATTGTATTTCAAAGTCACATGTGGGGGCTGAAGACTAAATTGATTACTTCTTTTTGTTTTTTCAAGTGTAGGGGGTGGCACCCAGGGCCTTGTGCATGCTAGGCAAGCACTCTGCCCCCAAAACCCAAAATTGATGACCCTTTGAAGGTCCACTCCCACCTCTGATCATTGGTGTGGCCACTGGACTGTGCTGCACGGCCTTTGCTGCCCCCAGCCCTGTCACCCAAGAGCCTCTCTTAAGCCTGCCCCTTCCAGAGAGGTGCCTCTTTCAGCTCGTCCTGTGCTGAGGCTTTGGCAGCAGCTCCTGCATACTCATTTCCATGCAGGGCTGGGAGACCAGAGCTATTTTCATGGTACTCTGAGCAGCTGTCTGCCTTCTTCACAGAGCCAGTGTTCACTCTAAGAACAAAATAGCTGGGAGAGAGTGACTGTCCAGGCCATGCTCTCCAGGGTGGAAGAGGTCAGTTTTCCAGGATTATAGGTATTTGTCGTCGTGCCCAGGGCTTTCTTAGCAATTTTCAAGCATACAGTGCATTATTAACCTTTTTGTCTTTATGAAGCAGTAAAAAATATTATTGTTAAATCTTTATCCTTGCTGGGTGGGGTGCTGTGCAGCTGTTGTTTCAGCTAATCAGGAGGCTGAGGCAGGAGGATCATGTGAGCTCAGGAACCTTGGATTAGCCTGAGCAATATAGCAAGACCTGTCTCAAACAACAACAGCAACAACAAAAACCAAACCAAACCAAATCAAACTCCATCCTTGAGTGTGGGTCCTTTTAGTCTCTTTGTGACAACATGGTCAAGGTCTGACTTGGCTGCAGGATACCTCTGTAGCCCATTGGCCAGGGTTCCTGGTGGCCAGCAGCATTCTCTGCAGACTAGGTCCAAGGGCTGGAGCCCTTCAGAAAGGAGCACGAGGAGGACGCCTCAGACATGGCTGCAGCCTGATGGCGGTGCTCCTCATGTTGCCTTCCGGGCTGATCAGTGTTTGGCTTCCTTCCTGGTGATTAGCATCATAGTTCAGTGCATGAACTGCAGACGTAGGACCTTGGGAAACCCAAGGACTTCCAGGCCTCGCAGAGGAGCACTGTGGAACACTGCCCTGTGTTGGGGACAATGGGGGTAAAATCAGAAAGCCAGACTCACAGGGATCTCAGGGACCCTAACTGCCAGTGCAGACTACCCGTGTGACCTCCTTATGAGTCTGAGGAATGCAGCAGCACGTCCCTCTGGCTGCCTCCCTCTTCCTTCTATCTTGCCTTCCTTTCTGCCTTTTGGAAGCCACAGGGGCGGGGTGACCAGGAAGTGGTTCTGCAGGGGCCAGCGTGCTAATCTGGCCACCCTGGGACCTGTGAAGCGGTGTCAACCCAGTAGCCACTGACTAGTCTGAGGTCAGGTTCTGGATGTGGTCAATCTCAGTAAGTTCATGTGGGGATAGGAACAGTCGTAAGGAATCAACTTGAGATTTTCTAAACTGCACTTCTCTGGCATTCAGTATTACAACCTTCATTCAATACAAAAAGCCAACAACAACTTGACAATTATTAGAAAACAATTGCATTTTAGAAGAACTCACTACATAAGGTGACAGAATTTCAAAATCAAATTACGTGAAAATATACATTGCAATTTCTTTGTGTAATAGGTGGGGAAAAATCTGCAGTATAGAATAACAGAGGCAAAGAAATATGAAAGACTAAGAAGGATGTGAGGGTAAATAGCTTTTTTTTTCTCTTTTAGAGACAGGGTTTCACTATGCAGTTCAGGTTGGCCTTGAACTCATTTTGTAGCCCAAGCCGGCCTCAAACTTGAGGTAATTCTCCTGCTTCAGCCTCCTGAGTACTAGGATTACAGGTGTGCACCACCACACCCAGCTTGCAAATAGCATTTTTAATAGCAAACTCAGAAGTAGAAAGCCAGTAGCTCTGCACATTTTTTTTGGGTACTAAGAATCAAACTCAGGACCTTGTGCTTGCCAGGCAGGTGCTTGTGCTGCTGAGCTATATCCTCGGCCTTCTGCATGGTTTTTAAATACACCCTTAACATTGGCCAACTGGCTGTTATGGATAATGCCTATAATTTCAGCACCTGGGAGGCTGAGGCAGGAGGACTGCCACAAGCTCAAGGTCAACCTGGACCACACAGTGAGTTCCAGGCTACTCCGAACTACACAGGAAGCCCCCATCACCAAATTTGGCAACTGAAGGGCAAAAAATAAAATCAAACAAGAATTTTGTATTGTTTGGGGTAAATTTCAGTAAGTTGCATTTATTTATTTATTTGTTTGTTTGTTATTGTCTTTTCTGAGACAGGATCTTGCTATGCAGTTCAGGCTGGACTTGAGCTCACTTTGTAGCTCAGGCTGGCCTTGAACTCACAATGATCCTCCTGTCTCAGCCTCTGAGTGCTCGGATTATGGGCATGCACCACCAGTAAGTTGAATTTAGAATCAACAGTTTTTTAGTTCTCAGGGTTAATGACTGGCTTCAAGATCTCTCAACAGCCAGAAAATGTTATTATTGCTACATCCAATCCAAGGGTGCAACTAGAATACAGAAAGGACAAAGCACCTAGTGATGACCACATCTCTGGAGTCATTGTTAAAAATTGAGTCACTGCTTATTAACTATTGCAGTATGTGAACTAAATGATTTGAGAACTTTCTGGCTGATAGAAGGGACAAGAGCAAAAGGGAGTGTGTCAAAACAAAGATAGAAAAGTTTAATAAGCGCAAGAAGTTTAATGAAGCCTCAAGATTTAAAGGAAATTAAATGAAAATTTCAATTCTAATTACTTTTCATCTGAGATGCTTTAAGGAGTCTTTTAAAACTAATAAGAAACAATGAATAAAGAAAGAAAACCTGCTAAAATCTTTTAGAATTTACACAATTCTTATCCTATCGTAAGAAAGTGTTATTTGGTACAAGGTATTTATGAGAATGTACATATAACAGTATATAAATATCATCCAGATCATGTTATGGTATGTATAGGCCTTTACAACTCTTCCTGAAGGTTAGAACAGTTCCTTAGAATTGAAAATGCACAATCATATGAACGTTGGCACTTGTTAGGCTCCTATCAGCATGGATAACTGGCATGATTCATTAAGCCCAGCTGCAGCCAGTGTTTGCCAACTTATTACAACAGAAGTCCAGCACTGGGTGGGGAGAATGCAGGAAAACAGTGTCATGCTTCTCAACTGGCGACCCTAAAATAAGTGAAGTTTCTAGCTGCCGAATAAATGTCACTCAAAAGCAGTTTCTTGGCTTCTTCTTATATAATGGGCAACTTTCCTTTAAATTCTCCATTTCTGGCTTTCTTCCACTCTTTCGCAGAATCCACATTAGCAGGTGAGTCTCGGTTAAGGTCTGCCAGCATCAAAATTAATCATGTGGTTCCACAGTGTGGATAGGAGCCAGGATTCCTCTGGTTTTTCATAACCATATTTATCCTCACCAAGTTCACGAAGAGTAGAATGCAAACATCACCATTTTTATCAACATTAGGGTTCCATATTTCTGTGCTGAATTTCATTTTAGGAGGCTGGAGGGGATAATCTTTTGGGGAAATGAG